ATCCAATAAAATTATCTGGTAGCTTTGAGAAGTTCAGTAATGATAAAGAGCAACACTATAAAATGGGTGTGAGTTGTGGAATATAAGTGTTGGTGTAAGTGCGGGGTGTGGATCTCTTAACTACCGTCGCCCACTCACCCACACACACCTACACCTGCACCCACACCACATTCACACATGCACTCACCCACACTCATCGATATCCTACAGTGGTTAAGTTTCTCAGACACTTACTCTTAAGCAATTAGAACAGATTTATTGAGCAAATAAAAAACAACGATCAATTCATATTTTCTTTCGAATCATTTCAAATGCTTCCTTATAATCTAGAAGATGAGGATGATTAGAAGGCAACTTTTCTTGAGCGATTTCTACAGCTTGTTGAACATTTTTCATTGCCTTACTATATTGTCCAATCGCCAAATGTACTTTCGCTACATTGTAATAAATTGCAGCTAGATCAGGATGATTTTTGGCCAACATATTTTCACGAATTCGTAGCCCTTTGCGAAAATATTCCAATGCTGTCGAATAATCATTTATTTCTCGATAGGTTTCACCTAAATTTGTATATGTTATAGCAAGCTCCAACGGATAGCATTCAACATTTTGTTGAATATTTAAGGCTTTTTGATGAAATGAAAGTGCCATTTCATACTTGCCCATTAATCGGTGAACATCACCAACACAACTGCGTGTAATAGACCAACTGATATGTGTTACCGGTAACAATTTTTCATCTATTGCAGATGCCTTCTCGAAATATTTGAGTGCCATTGAGTAATCTTTCATACTGCAATAAACCGTTCCTAAGCTTCGATATGTATCAACAAAAGCTGAACTATCTTCTTGAAGTGTTTTTCGCTGAAGTTCAAAAGCATTCTGAAGATTCTTCAGAGCAATTCTATAATCACCCGTTTTTTCGTAGCAATCAGCCGAATTCAAGAGAGTAAGAGCCAATTGAGGACGATTTAGAGGCAATAATTTTTCGGAAATTTCATATGCTTTTTCGTAAAATAGAAGTGCTGTCGAATAGTTACCCATCTTGCAATGCACCCAACCGATGTTATTGTAAGAAAAGGCCAGATCAGGGTGATTCGAAAACAGAACTGCTTCAAAGATTTGATGTGTTTTTTCAAAAAATTCGAGTCCTTTTGGGTACTGACCCTGGTTGTTATACATGCACCCGATCTCCCTATAAGAAATAGCTAAATCGAGACTATACGGAGGCAGAGTTTTCTCTTTTATTTGATGTGCTTTTTCGTGATATTCAAGCGCTTTCGAGTTGTAACCCATACTGGTATACGTCCAACCGATGTTATTGTAGGAAAGAGCCAGACCAGGTTGATTCGAAAGCAGAACTGCTTCAAAGATTTTATATGCTTTTTCGAAAAATTCGAGTCCTTTTGAGTAGTTGCCCAGGTTGTTATACAGACAAGCGATGTCAGTATAGGAAGTAGTTAAATTGAGATTATTCGAAGGCAAGGTTTTCTCTTCTATTTGATGTGCTTTGTACTGATATTCTAGTGCTTTCGAATAGTCACCCTTGCTTATGTACACTTGAGCAATATTACCGTAAATAGTAACAAATAGACAATGATTGGGAGGCAGAGATTTTTCCGCGATTTGAAGTGCTTTTTCGAGAAACTCGAGTGCTTTGGGGTAGTTACCCAGCATGATATACACCCAACCAATGTCGTTATAGGAAAGAGCCAGATCGGGGTGGTTAGAAAGTAGAACTGTTTCAAAGACTTGATTTGCTTTTTCGAAAAACTCGAGTCCTTTTGAGTAGTTACCCATGTAGTTATAGGCATAACCGATTTTTTTGTAGAACTCAGCGAAATTAGGATGATTCGGAGGTAGAGAATTGTCGAGGATTCCCTGTTCTTTTCCGTAATATTGGAGCGCTTTTAAGTACTGGCCCATGTCGTTACATAGTTCACCCATGCTGTGGTAAGAATAAGCCAATTTCCGATGGTCTTCCGGGAGATTTTTTCGGTAGATATTAAGTGATTCTTCGTAAAATATTTCTGCTTCGCTGTGTTCACCTTGCTTACGTTTCACAAACCCGAGCTGGTGATAGATGTCGGCTCTGTCACTGTCATTAGAGGATTTCTCGAGTAATTCTTTGTAGATATCTTCGGCTAGATTAAAATGACCCATTTTTATCATAAGTTTACCCATTCGATCTGATCCACTGCCATCGATCTCCTCTCGCATTCGATGTGTGAGAACAGCCAGTTGTGGATCATTGGCATCAGTGAGAGTCAAGCGAACTTCCCATAAGCGGCTGTTCTTGGCGTCCTGTTTCATTGCATCTACACGAAAAACAGTGTGCATTGAGAAAAGAATTTCTTGCTCTTGTGGAACAGCAGTATATTCTTCGATAAGCGCGAACGGCGTTGTTGACGGTGATATTTTAGTTGAATCAACCGTTATAATGAATAGAAGATCAACATTCTCTTTATATTTTTGCAGTGATCTGTCTATAAATCCCATGGCTATCTTTTTTTGTTACTAGTCGACAGGAAATTGTTGAACGAGATAAGTCCTCCTGTCATATCAAGTAGATGATTAAAAGTCTCTTGGGTCAACGCCTGACCACGATGTACTATAAATGGCTTTTCATACGTACTGGACTGTTCTTCGTATAATAGCTTTAACTGTCGATGAAGACTACGAATGAAAAAGCCCTTTTTCCACATGACCTCTATGTCAAGAGACCGTAGGGCGGAGTTGAGCATGCTGTACAAGAAAATCTCACAACTGTACCACCAGATTGCCGTTTTTTGGTGGTACATACTCTGAAAAAGTACATATCTCTATGTAATAAATAAAAGAAATTATAGAAATTTCCTAGGAATTACCATAATTTCCTCGAAATTACCGGAATTTCCAAAAATTCTCTGATTTTTGGGGGTAGGGGTTCTTATTCTAATACATATCTCTACCTAATAAATAAAAGAAATTATAGAAATTTCCTCGTAATTATCATAATTTCCTCGAAATTTCCTTGTTCGTGTATTCGTAAATACAGAAATTTCTGGGAAATTTCCTTTGGTTGGATTAGTGGATCTAGGTAATTTCTTGGAAATTTCTGCATTTGGTTGATGAATGAATCTGGATAGTGTAGTGGAATTTATGGAAATTTCAGTATTTTCTCATTTTATTGTTTTTGCGTTGTCGAAATTTATGAGATTGATCTGTTCATGAGGGAAATTTTCTTTTTTGGAAATTTGAACACTGCTGGTTCGTCGAGAAAAAAATTTCATAACCAATACTTTTTCCTACAAGTCAGTTTTAGCATATGTTTAACAAACTAACAGCTATGATTCAATTGGTTTCAATAGTGATCGCCATAGTTTGATAGTAAATTATACTGATTATTGAAGGACTTTTTATAAATTTGACAAATCGTTTCGAATTCAACGTAAAAAAATATTAATTATCTCATAAATAAATTTGATCACATAAATATTGAATTCTTCTTTAATTCTTATTGAATTTCTAAACCAGGTAAATAACATGATTTAATTGATGATGATGTTTTTGTAATTAATTCAAAAAAATGATCTGGATATGAAGATGAATCAATTGATATATGTTCAAGTTGTTTAAGATGAGGTATAATTAAAGCCAAACTACCTAATGTCATATATAATAGTTTAATTAATGTTAATGATCGAAGTTGTTTAAAATCATCAAGATGAAAATAATTGAAAAAATTTTCAAGTAAATTTATTGTTAAATCATTACTTAATTTTAATTTACGTATATGATAATAATAATTTGAAAAAATATTAATTTTTTATAAAATTCATTATATGTTTGTTGTGATATTGATGTTAAATCAATTGAAAAACCACATAAATTTAATGTTGAATTTATTTTCCAATTAAGATTATAAAATGAATTAAAACAATCATTTATTGAAAGATAATCAAATATTTCAAGTAAAATTTCTCGAGATAAACTTTCAAATGTATTTATCAAATTTTTCATATTTTATTTCTTATTATTTATCAATAAATGTAAAACAATTTATATATGATTGAAAATCAACATAAAAGAATTACCGAATCAAGAAAAAAGTCCCATGTATATATATATATATATTTAATAGAAATACATGGCAATTTCTTGACTCACATAGAATTGCAAGAAAAAACAAAAACAAACTAGATGGTATTCGAGTTTCGACTCGAATACGAAATGCAGTGCGAAGTACAAACATCTCGAGTTTTTGAAAAAAACCTTATTTTGTAGAAAACGAAAATTCGATTATCGAGTTCATAACAATCGACATTTCTGATTGGATTGTGCATTGACTACCGAACACAGACACAAATGTTCAATAAGGAACTTTTACTTAGGGCAATCCAAAAGTAGTGTCGTCAAGGTTTTATTTCTTTATAGTAAGTAAAAAAGAAAAATTTTCTTTTTTTAT